TTATATATAAATATATTATTTTTATATATATATATATATATATAATATAAATAATCACTACTGCTGTGCTAAGCGCCTGAGATGTATTATCTCAAATGAGATCCCAGGCCTGAGGAGAGAGGCTTGTACCATTAGCTCTGACCCTCCAGCACTATCCCTGCTTGACCTCTTTCCTTCACTCACCCTAAGCATATCAATTTATCTGATGAAAAAGCTTACACTTTAACTTTTCACTGAAATAGCTAAATCTAACCAGAGAAGTAGCTAATTCTAACCTCTCACAAGTGCTTGCGCACTTGCGTAAGTGAAATTCCACTGTGTGAATTCCACACCAACACCACCTCTGCTCCAGCCTCTGCCACTCTGCTCTTCACACTCTGGAGTCTCAAACTAGAGTGGGAGATAAAGGAAGCATGGTGCAGTGGGCAGTGGCCCCTCCTCAGGGTCAGTTTAATTTGAGGTAAATTCAGTTAGCAATTCGAAGTTTTCTATGTTCTAATGCTGCACACGCTTAGCATTGATTTGTGTCGCTGTCCGGGAGGGGAACAAAAGGAGGGTCTGAATTTCATCCCGTCTAAACCTGGCAACAGTTAAATCTCAGAACACCGTGCTCTCAACTGCCTGAGGTGTTTTATAAGACAGCCATGTGAGCCTCATTGCTCATAGAAAGGAAAAGCCAGGGAGGCATTCCCTGAGAGGAAAAAATACCAGGGTGCAGAGGAGGAGCTCACCAGTGGAGTCAAACCCACTGGTGAACAACACCTCACACTCACAATGAAGGCTCACAATGAAGTAGTGAAAGCCTATTTCATTTGGCTCATTTGCTTTCCACAACACGAATCCAAAAGGCACTCAAGCACAAAAGCTGTGGCCTCTCTATTTATCAAGGTTATAAGAACGGCTTTAACCTCACCACTTCACCTCCACCACATTCCATTCTTTGCAAGACACATTATCTTAGGAAAGAACATTGTTAAGAGACACACAATTTTATTGCCATCTCTTGGCACTTGTGCACAGGTCGAGACTAGATCTGGCATGGTTGTGGTAAAGAACCAGCTCTCTGGCTCTAGAGTTTGGACATCATTTCTATATGTGATATTAGACATTCACACCATCAACCCAACAACAGCTTTTGAAACTGCACCACCAAAATGAGACATCAATAGAGTGCCAATTTCTACCCCACCCACCAAAAGGAGAAGTCCATTCTTTTCTTAACTTCCTGAAATAGATCTGTTTTAAAGCAAGGTAAAATTTGGTACAACTAGAGTAGTAATTCCACTTAAACTTTCCAATTATCTGGGAATTAGTAATCTCTATATTAATGCAGGTGACTAGATTATAGCCTAAAATTTCAGGTGTACTTGCCAATAGTATGCTTATTTTCTTTGAGCCCCAATCTTCTCATCCATGAGCTGGAGATAATAATAATAATATCTACCTAAGCACTGAAGTCACAATTAAATGAAATAATATACGCAAGGCACATAATA